TAAAAAATGCCCTGTACAGTTGTAAGGGATTTATTCTACCTCCACAACAAGCATTATAGTTGGCAATGCTCGACATCGGCTCACTCGTTGTGCTTCATACTGAACATTATGCAAAAGCCAGCAAAGAGAGCCGGTCAGATTTTATTTTTCTTGTAGCTGACATTAACAAATTCGTGCTTTGATCATCTGATTGGCCTCCAGCATACAATAGTTAAGGAGCTAACACTAAATGTTGGCTTGGGAATTGGAGTGTATTGCTTTAAACAGAAGGATCCCTTGTCAGTTAAAAACTTCTAAGACGATGTGACCTTTAATGAGAAAGCATGCTACCCATTTCAGAAAAAGAAGACAGGAGAAAAAGGGCAAGGAAAGAAGCACTATAAAGCCGTCCGAAAGCTTCACTCAGCTTTGAGAAAACTAGAGAACGTTGGTAAGGCCTTAGCGTGTCATATCATTGTAATGATTTATAATAAGAGTTAAACATCTGTTCGTCTCACGCCACAGATTCCTTATCAGTTCAAGGGTCAAGCTATATATTATAGAGGGAGACGTTCTGACTGCTCTTCTGTCAGTCTTCGTCACGTGATTAGGTTCAATGATTGTGCGCGGCTATTTTAGCTGCGTGATCTCATTGGTGCATTTCGATCCTCGTGGCATTTCGCAGGCGTTGGATTGTCAAGATTTCATTGCACACTAACTGTGTGGGTAGCGTGCAAGGAATAAAAAAATGTTTTTAATTTAAACTTTAAATTCCATTGAAAGATAACAGCGTCATATACGAAACATAACTTGAACACGAAGATCATTAACACGACGATGTATTTTGAGAATATCCCTCTCCCGTCGCGAAACGATTATGTCCGCACAACTCAGCTAACTGACTCTTTCCCTCCCAAGAGATTTTCAAGCAGAAGTTGCACAAGAAGTAAGACAATATCAAGTAAAGGGTATTGTTTGATTTGAAACCAAATTAAACAAAAACTTACACGAAATGTATGGCTCATAGTGCTAAAAATTTCTATTTAAATATTGGAAGCGAAAAGGTTAAATATTTATAACATCATGACAGCTAATCCGACGAATATCTCCTCTCCCCCAGGTAACGAAGCTTCAGTCAAAAATATAAATCTGTTTGACTTGGTTCCTGAACTGACAGATCTCTCGTCCTTCTACTCCTACAAGGGTTCCCTTACCACCCCTCCCTGCTATCAATCAGTTAGCTGGATTG